CATTTTCTACATTGACCCGACCGGGAATCGAACCCGGGACCTCAGAGATGGCGACACCTTGAAACCGGCTACGTTCTAGATGTTATGGTACCTTTATTTCAGATTTCCATAATACAACTTAATTTCTGAACAATTTCTGAACAACAATCATTTGTTCTGTTGTAACGCTAATACCTATTTGTTAACCTACTGTCATAGTGGGTGTCGTAACTGCAGCGTTATTGATAATCAGTGCGAGCCTCGCTCGGTCCGCTGGTTCACGCGGTAACCTGACCGTACCGTTTCGATCAGCCGCGTGACACTCCGTGCCATTACGGTGGATTTCTAGAACGAGGTTTCGATGGCACTTTCCAGGACATTTTGTTGTCTATAATGGACCAACGAGGCCAATAGCCGAAACAATCCACTGAGTCAGGCTAGAAACCGTTCTATTGGACTGGCTGGAAGATAACTTCCATTTACACGAGGCCAATATTGGTCTAGTTTACTGGACTGTCTTGGCTACTGACCTCGTGTAAACGGTCCATTAGGTCCGCTTGACGTAAGACTGTTATGTTTGAAGAGTATATTCATCGTACAATAATTAAATAAATAAAGTTAGTTTTAGTTTTTTATTATATTTTCACTATTGTACTAGAGTAAATAGCAGACCTTGCTTGGTTTCTTACCGGTTCATTTTAATATAAGTTTCCTGTTGATTTACAAACCGATGGCATAGAGTTCTTTTAGGCTCACCAGTGCTTGTAACAGCCTAGACTGAATAAAATTATTTTGTTTAAAGAAAAGTCTATTTTAAACATATTTTAATACATTACATATATTACTAAGTACATTACCGTAAACGTGACGCCAGCAGCGCCTCGCCGACCGAGACTCCCTTTCCCTCCCCCTGCGTGGAGAGCCCTAAGTTATTAAAATAGCTCATTTCAATGTCTCTTATTCAGTCTAGACTGTTAATCAGTGAAAGTTTATACTTCTTTATGATTGTTTCACGTTGAATAAACAAAGTGATCATCTTTTGTTTCATCCTCCTCAAATTTCATTTTCTCGGCAAGAGGTAGCCTACGTTCTTCACCTTTATAAAAGTCCTGTTTGATACAATCTTTTAGTTTTGTTATTGTATTATCGTAGCTTCGCCCGTGGTCAGAGAGAATCGGATAAGATTATTTTAGCATTCAAAAGTCGACAACTATCATTGAGGAGCTCGATAGTGCAGTGGTTAGCGCGCAGCGATACGGTAGTTTTATTAGATCTGCAACGGGCTCGTTAACCCGTTGGTCCCAAATGCATATGCAGTTATCACCCACCAATCTGTACTAGGTCCGCGTGTTGGGTCATGGCCCATTCTCCCTATTCGATTAGATTCGATTCTATCCATTGGGAAGGTTTAAGCTCCAGCAGTGGGCACATTATTAAGGTGATGATGATCTATCCCCACACAACACACATCATATACAACAGCAAAGCTCCGTTGCTACTCGAAAAAAGAATGAGCAAATAGCCTTTCTTAACAGAGTTACTTTTTGCGGCATGGTTAGACGAACAAATCTTATTTCCTCGTACAAACTGTTGAATAATGTTCTATTCATATTTCTATCTATAAATTACAGTGCGTCGTTTACATTTTTATCTGTCGTCTGGCAATGTTTACATTTATTTATAGTTCGAAACAAGATTTGGGTTGATGTAAGTTGATTTGGCTATTGTTATCTCTGGGGAACCTTTTGATGGTATAATAAAGTTGCCCTTGTAATGTATCGAACGTCTATTTTCATAAGCAGGAAAACTAAGCTTTCTTTACGTATAAACGTTTGGCTTGTTATCGTTCTAGATTCTGGTTCTGGCGAAAGGGAAGTTTATAACAAAATTATCGTTCGAGGAGGAAGTCCTCAGATGTTATGTTAATTCGATTGAGTTATAACATATACGTATATATCGATATATAGTGAATTTGTATGTGAACAAAGTGAACTGAATCACTGATGCCACGCCGCTCAATTATAGGCTTAGCAGTGGGTATAATATCAGTTTTAAAGACTAAAGGTCTTGTAAAGGTCAACGCATATATTTCCCTGTAGTTAGTTGGGTATTGTAGTGGTCTTACTATGTCCAAGGTGACTTGAAGAAATCGTGTCTAATTGAATCAAATTTGAATCGAAATGAAGTAGTATTGCCTATTTTTTTATTATTTCTATCCTTAAAACTGTTAGAGATTCTCAACAATAGTTGTGATTTCAATGGAATACTTGTTTGATTTTCAATGGAATAGTCTAATGAAAAAAGTATTGTTCATTATTTATTTTATTACCATAGAGATGTTTATAGGTTTTAAGATGTACTTTAACTAGGTTCCCGAAGATGAAATCATTTTTAAAATCGGTCCAGTAGTTTCAGAGCCTGTTCAATGCAAATAAACAAAACAAATAATCTAATCTTTCTTTAAACAAGAATTCAGAATTCGTTTCTGGAAGGTTTTTTTTTTACTTTTCTGTCAACTTTGTCTTGTTTATGTAATTTTCTTGGCGATGTTAGATTAACTGTTGCGCTCACAGACAGCAAGGACGAGGTAGGTATACACTGGTGGTCAAAGTTAAATCGCCCGAGAAAATTCAAACTAGCAGGATACGGAAATTACTTAATTGTCTCTGTCTTATCATCTAGCGGACGTATGCCATTTTTGTATATATGGTAACCACCCAAATTCACTATTAAACATTATTTCTAGCCATTGTGCCCCGCTAGGCGCTCTATACGTTTTGACTTTCGATTAAGGAATATTACGCTCTGTTTATCTTATATGCTTATATCGCCCTCCTCTCAATATCGGCTAAACACAATTCATCTCTTGTAAACGTACACACCCTAAGTAAATATATTTTCTCGCATGTTCTATTTTCTTAGTGCAGCTTATAATATTCAAATCGGTGCTATACTGACTTTTAAAATACCAAGCGTCAAATTTAAGAAATATTTATTCATTCTCCTGTTGGATGTTTACCATTTTCAATATTTTACACATTGACTTATTTTTTTTGTGCTTGCGTTTGTTTCGAATTTTGTTTAAAGCTGATATTAAATCCTGTTCAATATTTCTCGACCGCCTGACCTGGAATGATCTTATACAACCCTGTGTCTTGGAATGTCGACCACTGTGACCGAGGCGGTCGCATGCCGGTTGCAAGGTGTCGCCCCCTCTATGGTCTTGGGTGTGATTCCCGGTCGGGTCAATGTAGAAAAGTTCCTTTCCTTTCCTGAACTTTTCTACATTGTCTCTGATCAGGGGTTGTGATGTATCTGAATGCGAATTCATTTTAAGTACTCGTATTTTAAATGGCCCCATAGAATGTTTTGCACCCCCGACATAAGGCTTTTTTAATATTGGATTTTATTGCTGACATTTTTTTCCAAAATCTGTGAATGCAGTTCAAAATATTTTTAAAATGTATAAATAATTTTCTAAGAAAGATTACCCGTATTTGAAAAATTTTAACCTTCGTATCTATAGTCGAGAGATGAGTACTTACTTGAGAATATGTCATAATTACCCGACTAATTTTGGCCGGTATGTATGTATGTATCATGTTCATTTGTTCCCTTATAACTTATGTCCTGGCAGGATAAAAAATGTCAGACAGTCAAGTATTTTTGAGTCTGCTATAAACTACGTTATTTTATCCATTTTCTGTTATTATCCATATTATATATTAATTTAACTGTCAACGAATGTCACTGTATATTAATAGATGAATGAAACGATTATTTCTTTTTGTAATTTTAAATATTTTAATTAAATTATAGTACAATGAAGTAATTTTCAATTATACTTCTCTGAATAAATTATACAGGGAGAAAAAAGCAGCCATTGCTATGTTTCTTGCCGGTTCTTCTCAATATAAGGTATCTTGCCGCAAATTTATTTAGCTTTCGACTTTCATAAGTATTTGTAACAGACTTAATAAATTATAACCTCAATCTAGCCCAGGGACATAAATGAGATCTGGGACGACCTTGCCCAAAAGGAACCTATTCACTCTTGTCTTAAATAAAATAAAAAAACAGTTAAAGTTATAAATATTACAACAGCTATAAGTATAAGCTCTAAAGAACGTACATATTTAAAATATTTCAAATGCTAATTATTCACTTAGTTAAGTATTCATCGCTAACGTGCTATTGTGGATATTTAAGTTATTGTTCTAGACAAGGAAGAATATGGAATATGCATCTACCTACCTAACATTGCATGTAACTCGCAAGTCACGCACTACTGCCCCAGTTGAGAATTTCAGGTGTTTTTTATGAGGAATTATGTGAAAACTTTACGTAAAATGATTAACGTTTAATAAAAAACAACTAACAGGTTTTATTATTGTATCATGCAACCACTGAAAATGTTCGTGCTGCGCTATCGTAATCGTTAAGCGACTTTCGCAAGGGTCGGTCACGGGATGGGTGACCAAAAATTATTATCACGAGCTACTCCGTGCTTCGGAAGGCACGTAAAGCCGTTGGTCCCGGCATTTGCAGTCGTATATCCTCCAATCGGCATTGGGCCAGCGTGGAGGGTCATGGCCCATCCTCCTTAACCATCCGTAAGGAAGGCCTGAGCCCCTGCAGTGGGGACGTAAAAGGGCTGATGATGATGATGAATGACCAGCGGAATTTTTCACACTTGGGACAATAGAATAGAAGTTAAAAACTTACAACTGGTGACCAAAAATGATTGAAGATACGAAAGTCAAGATTTTCAGATCATATATATGATACATATGTATCATACGGACATATTATGTGTTGTAAAAAGAGAAATAAATAATAGTCTTTTTTTTGTAAAACTTTTCTTCTGTTTATTAATTTATTGTTGCTTGTATTTATTTTTGGGCTATTATGCTAATAAAGAAAATTGACAATACACTACATAAGTGTATTAATGCCCGTATTTATAAAAAAACTTCACTATCATTTCACTGTCATTAATAGTATTCTTTTAAATTTTACAGAATATCATGGTCAAGGAATGGACGCGGGTGGGAACAATTTTGACTCCGGTAAGTTCCAGTTTTTGCAAATATATTGTACTTTTCATTATTGGAGAAAATCCTAATACATACACAGGCAAGGACGAAGTTAACTTGCTCCAGTGGTATGTTATGTATTTGGTCCAGACGGTGGATCTACAGATTTAATTAAGAGTTTCGATAATGCATAAAACTGTTTCTGTTTCATATACCGGTTAATTTCGGTTGCTCCTCCCATCCATCGCTTTCTCTGTTTTATCTGTATATCTTATCGAAATCACTCTCGCGCCATTTTTATTGTTGATGAAATGCTGCACCATTGAAAAAAAATTGAATGTCGAAAGAGACTGCGTACGAATGTCCGGGCCTTAAAACTAACCTCGTGTTTAAAGCTGGTTGATAAAGCCCGCCATATGATCCCAAGCCCTGACCGCCCGGCGTCCACCATTTTGCCACTCTGGGCAGTTGCCCGGCCATAGAATATTCTGTGCCATAGATCAGGCCCTGCTTTCTATAAGTAAGGAATGGCAAAGCCAATCGTCGACGACTTGTGTAGACGATCAAGTGGCAAAATGAAATTTATTGTACACATTCGAGAGGCCTTTATTTATTTCTTTAATATTTGTGGAATTGAGGCCTTTATGTCATCGTGGATGTGAATATCACCTATCTTCAGCTATACACAAATCGTAATGTAGCCTTATCAGACGTTTTAACGGCCAATGAACTCCTGTGTAATAGGTGTGACCCGAATTGGGTTAGATAGGATGGCTCTGCCCTTGAGCGAACATTGCTAATGGACTGGCTCTCTGTCTGTTTCGATCAATTGATACATCGTTTTTTTTTTGCTTTTTATTGGTACACAATACGTTGTATTATTAGTTGTTTAGGGTTGTTTAATATTACGTTTTTACATTTAAATTTTAATTATCTTACAAAGGGATAGTGAATTTGTGGAAGATGACGCCCGAAAAAAACTGCACCTATTTGCAATACACTGGGGTTCCTACTGTGAAAAAATATTGGTTTCAATTTGGTCCAAATTGGATTCAATCAATATACACTCAAAGTCCATGACTGTATTCTTTAATAAAATGACTACGTTTTTATCAAAGGGTTGAATTACATTCACTTAACATCCAATACAGTATTGAACGTTAAGTGCAATTTGATTGAATCTAACATCAACAAAATCGAAGTTAACATAGTTACGTGGTAGACCTGTTAGACAAAGTTGGGCTATTAGTTATGTAGAGAGTCTTTAGATTTGAAACAAAGGCAGAGTATGATTTTTAAATAAAGTTGCAATTTGTATGTAATCTTCTTTCTGATAACGCAATTTTCACCGTCATTATCAGTAATTTTATTAAATTATTCTCAAAGTGAATTACTCTATTATTGTAAACCGATTGATTGCTCATACCGATTGCGGGCGACCCATGTTTAAAAAGCTCATTTAAAGTGGTGGTTAAACCAATGACCACCATTGCATTTAATTATGAATAGTAACCCTGTAAATACCCTATAGTCAATGTAAATGAGCCATACAAACCTTTTATTAGTTATTTAGACTAATGCGACGGAAGATTGTGTTTATAGTAAAAGACTTAATGTAACGCTGTATAATGTTGTAATTTTAACGAAATCAACATATTTTTTTCCTATTATTTCACATGTGTATCCTTGCTATTGGTTTAACATGATCGAAGAGCAAAGAGAAATCCTTATCATATACAGGGATGACAGAGGATACACTAGTATTTGACAACATATCCAAAAATGGAAGGCCTGAAAATAGACCCATAATAAATACAGTGAGATTATATCGGTTTAACTTTTGTATTTATATTAAAGTAAAAATAATGTTCTACGTTAATTTATTCGATAAATTATAAACCATGTCTTAAGTGTTTATTCATTCATTCATTCATGTCTTTAGTTTAGTTTCGGCTGAAATATTTAACTATGAAAAATTACACGATGCTGGTTGAAATCGCTGATATTTTTTTATTTTATAATCAGTAAATAGGATTAAAAAATAAATAAATATAAAAATAAATAATCAACAGCGTTGGCATTACAATTCACTTCAGTAAATTACAATTAGTCTAAGAATCATATGAGCAGATTAGTTTAATTCCAAATAAACATTTTTTTCTTTTATATCTTGACACATCCGTGACCTGTCATATTACGCAAATGCTTAGCGCAAGGTGCCTTTTAACGCATTTCATAACTTTAGAAATTGCCTAAAGTGAATAAATATATGGTTCCTAGTCATTGGTGAAATATTTTTTCACCTTAGGCGATTCCTAAATATAATTAGATGACAGTTGGGCGACTCCTAACTTTAGTGAAAATGGGCATTATTCTTAATATGTATATATTTTCATCATCATGCTTAACATTACTTTTTAGTTATTACATTTTGTCTAAAAGACAACAACAGCATTTCAGTCTACCGCTAATAAGAAGGTTCACAAACTCTACAGATCAGATCAGATCAAAATACGTCTTACACAACGATTTACATAGCATGTCAACTTAAAGTCGTCTTCACCCAATCTAGTTCAGAACAAAATGAGTTCCCGAACCTGAGTTTTAAAATTGAACCAGGCAAATAAGAACTAATATTATTTTATGAAGCAGAAATGCGAGGTAATGGTTCATGCCTAAAAACTAGCGGGAAAACTTGGATATTGGTTTTCATGTATTATTGCAAAAAGTATGAATCCCTCGTGCATCATCTACATCATCATCATCTACACTTCGTTCTAGAAGAGATTACCAGTTACCAGTTTATATTTACTACTCGATTTACCTCGACATTTACACAATAATAGATACACGTTGAAAGTCAAGGAAGTATCTTAGATAATCTGGTCCAACTCAGTACACTTTATATCTAGGTTGTATTTACGAGTTTCCAAGATGAGAACTGAACAGTTACCATTAATCATTAACACCACTCAAGTAATTTGCCCCGTGCGTTAAGATTAATGGTAAGAAGCCATGTAACCGAGAAACTCCTTAGTTAAATAGTAGGCTATGCAAAATTTGATTCAAGAGGACGTTCATAGGGTCATTCTTTTGATATTTAATTAACGGAGAAAAATACCTGATGGACGAATGGCAACATTGATATTCCTCCTTCAGTGAAAGTTGAAGGGTTTACAAGCCACAAAAAGCCAATACGCACCATTCACGATGAAATCGATGACGTGCTAAAGGAAGGTAACATCAGAACTCATAAAAAGCATTTATTAAGAGAAAAAGAGTAATTTAAAGTGGAGGCGACGAAGGATGTATGCAAGTACCTTGTCTAATTTCGCTCGATTTTCTCTGCCTAGCAAGGGATACAGCGCCGGTAGATACAGATAGATACATCTTAAATGAAGCAGTGAGAAAAAAGACTTCCTTTTAGGATGATAGATAATTTTACTTCAAAACTGGAGTTGAAAGATACATATTACCCATACGCAACTTGATCCAAAGTTCAAACGTGTACCATCAATAAAGATTTGGAAGCGTCTTTTCAGGGTAAATAGAAATATTAAATAAGAGAATTGAGAGAATTACCAATATTTATTTTTCATAACTTGATGTTAAATTTTGCAGTTATTTAGGAGAATATGTGAAATTTATCTTGCTTTTTCATCTCTAATACTATTGGTTTTTAATGAACCGTGCATCTGCAATGAATCTCGTGCATTAAATGAATGTATTAATCAAACAGCCCTCCGCCACCGGACGATCGATCTCTATTCGGCTAATTAATTCGATATCGTTACCGAATTCAGCAATCTAGGCAGCATTTTAATTTGTTAATGCGTTAAATTACCCCGCGTTGTTACTAAGCGATCTGGTGACTGGATGTTTTTATTTAGTTGTAAGTTTTAGAATGGGACTGGTGTCGCGAGACTGCTATTTGTATATTTGTGATCGTCATATAATATACCTTACACAGTATGGGTGAATTTATTCCAGACATCGGAAAGTACTTACGTTAAGTTACAATGGGAAGGTGTGGGCCAGGCAGTGGGGACAATTTTCAACGTAACATATTCATCATTGAAACGCTTAAATATCAAGCAAAAAAAAAACCACAAATAATCTCTTAACGATGGCTTGGGATGCTAATTATTTTCTTTTTTCAAATATAGGAAGTACGCTCAATACTTATTGTAAACAAAAGAGACTAGACAATAATAAAAGAAATTAACATGAAAATCGTGAAATTTAAATTTCAAAAATACTACTGTAAAAAACTTTTTCAAACAGGTCATTAAATCTTTTCTAAAAAGGTTGAAAGACAATAGAATCAATGAAGATTTTAATTGATCTAGTTGCAGTAGTTGCCCGGTGCAGTGACGGCCGGGGCGCATGCCGACACCAGGTAAAACACAGCACTCGATCGATCGCACCCATTTCTAATTACGCATTCATATTATATCATTATCTGGTGTTGCCGACCGGTGAAACTCCTTCCATTATGTATCAGGTTTAGTGACCGGATAATACTTACGTTTATCACGTTTCTAAATAATATCGGTTCCTTTTTTGTTTTCTAACTGTGTTTGTAGGGGGTTAATCTTCGGAAATACTGATCCGACATGAAACTTTTTTACAAAGTTTGATCATACGCGGCCGCGGGTGACATATGCTATAATTTAGGTGGGCGAAGTCCAAAAAAGAACATTCAGTCAAATTGAGAACCTACTTCTTTTGAAATCGGTTAAAGAGCACGTGTTGAACAAATATGATATTCATTCTTAAGCACATTTATAAGAGTCAATACAGGATATTAAGGGCGTTTATGACAAATCCGTTGCGTTGAGTTTAGGTAATTGCAATGTAATTCTCGCCAACTCGTCAAATGAGTTGACGTATGTAGTGTGACCGACTCGTATTGATCTAATGGAGCTCATTTAGTATTATTTTTGAGACAATATTTGATCTTTATTTATTTTTCCTATTTTACGTTCCGATAGGATATTATTAAATTTCATTTTCTATTTTATCTAAATTCAATACCAGTCAGGTTTTCCTGTAATTTGTGCAGGAAGAATTATTATTATAATTCTTCCTGCACAAATTTTGTAAAAGGGGTATTCTACTTAGTTAGAACTCGATCTGTCATGTAGGTGATAAGTAACTTTCGAATGGGACTTTCGAGATAGATCGTCGTTAAGTAATTGGTCTCTGCTGCATCTACAGATTTAAATGCCTTCATTCCGCACTTGGGTCTGCGTGATTATGGCCTGTCTAAAAATGATGATCATTTGTGGAATAATATAACACATACGCAAATACGAAAACGAAAAGAATAAACTTTTCGTTAAACGTCAAGTAAACTACCATCATTGTTAAAAAATTTACACGTTCACTCACGAATAAGTCGAAAAAAAAAATACTTTCAGACAATACTAAATAAATCTAAAAGTGAGATCTAGGATTATTTCTCAATTTCCAGACTTTATTTTTAATAGAACTAAGTTCAGCCGAAAAATGGCATCCACCTAAGGTGAAAACACGGACTCAGTGTGAGGACAGATTGAGTAAATTCAATATTACATCTCTTAACACACGTCGTTATCAACATGATTTTATGAAATGAAATGAAAATATCTTTATTCAAGTAGGCTATTACAAGCACTTTTGAATCGTCCAAAAAAATTTCCCCTACCACTTGTTCAGGACATCTTTTAGCTGACAAGAAGAACAAGCGAAAGAAACTTACCAGCTTTTTATCATAAGTAGTTAAACAAATTAACATTTAAATAAATCATGTCATTACCAAAATAATATGTATTATCACAATAATAAATACAACTTTCAAAGTCTGTAGGACATAGGTTGAACATATAATTAAGTCTTTATAGAACAAAGTGAAGGCTATTAATTCCATGCATTGCGATCCTTAAAATAATCATCACTTTATAATAGCCTTTACTCATAAGTATATTCTTTACATGATTTTGAAATTTATTTGTGGGTAGGTCAATTACATTTTGTGGAACTTTATTGAATATAGCAATACATTTACCTAGAAATGATCCTCTAGTTTTTGAAGTCTGAAGCTTGGAACAAAATAACTCTTCATATATTAGTTCATTCCGTAATTGACTCAGAATATATTCTTTCATCTCTTAACATTAATTTCAAATACAATCTAAGACGCAGGCATCCAACTATAGTCATACCGACATCTAGAAATAATAATATATCATAATCCCATCGCTCGTATGTGTAGAAATTATAATGAGATCCTCCCAGTTAATCAGGCATTAGACATATTTAATGCCAATCTCTTTAAATTAAAAAATGTACTATTAAAGAAGTTGTGGTAGACCTAAATGTTGCATCTTTTTAACCATCCAGATTGATATATAGTTATTTTTTCTGTTTTTTTTTTCATATTAGTAAAAATAATAATAATAGTTTTTTCTTTATCTTATCTCATTGTGTAAACACCTTTAGGATATTAATTTTGTACTACACAGTTGTTACTTATTATTCATATATATTTTGATTAATGTCTGTTGTGTTACTTAATAAATAAATAAATCTTTGAAGTCAAAATTTGAACCCAATTTTTACAATGTATAAATACTTTTTACATCTCACAGACGCACAAAATATAACTGGAAGTTTACCTATGAAAAATAAATATTAATTATCCTCCTAACCCTAATTTTAAAGTTTTCAGATTGACATGAATTGCCAAAAATACACATATAATACCAAAACGGATTGTTAGTCTCAATCACTTTTGATAAGTAACAGTACAATAGCGTGTTAACGTTTGATGCTGCATGGTATCGAAATACTAACGCAATAAAGGGGTTACTCATTTCCATAATACAATTTCCATATTAGTCTCCACAAATCGAATAGGCAAATTAAAATAGAGATGTGGTCAAAAAAGAGCGATAAATGAACGATGTATATAATTTATTACCTTGGTTGAGCAATAAAAATATCCATTGTTAAAGATTTATGCTTATATCTTAATTTATATGTAATTTGATTGGGTGGTCGTTCGGGATCCGATTTTAAGCAGGGATCACTGATCGTCTGATGAACTCCATTATCTCAAGCTCTTTGTTCTCTTTCCAAGATATATTCATGGTTTTCAAACTGTGTTAGCGCCTGAAGTCGTTAACATTCCATCAACTCTTATTAAGCTTGAGTGGTGGGTAACAGTCCATTCTCCTTATGGATCCGAGAGATAGTCTACACTATTGAGAGTGAGTACATTAATAGGCTTATGATGGTGATAGTTTCGTTATTATGTTTAAAGCGTAACCTCCAAGTCTTAGGACTCGTACCCACTATACCGAACCGATAAAATTATCGGAAAGACTAGGGGCTGTACAATTTATATATTTGAAGTCATTTTGCATGAGCCATAGAATGCTTTTACTCACTAAATCAAATTTTCAAAGTTGTCTATCGTGTGCACCAGTCATAATCTCAGGTTTTTTTTTATTATTTTTATATTTTTTTTAATGCGGGTTCCCCCACTTTTGAGCAGGATGTCTTTTTTTGTTTTTTATGCTTGTTTTTTATTTTCTTTAGACAGATATGATTTATCTGTTGTTATGGGGATCGCTCTTTTTCCCCTCTTTTGGCTTATCTTATTGTTTACTACATTTTTTTTATCTAATTTCTTTTCTAATAATCTTTTCTAATATTCTTTTCTAATAATCTCAGGTTAGGAGAGCTAATCTTCCTCCTGGATCAAATTTATTTTAAAACAGTGCCGGTTTCTGGTAAATACACCGTTCGCTGGTCCGATATACTAGTACGCGGTTAATCACTGAAACCAATGATGTTCAATTGACCCGAGCTATTTTGCCGCCCATCCTTAATGAACACTCATTATAATAATGTTGCAGAATAAATATCACACTACAGGTGTTGTGGTTGATATTTTGGCATAACATTGACTGCGATGAATCTCAAGCAATTGCCCGGTAAATAATGCAAGTGCTGTAAATTGAGTAATTTATAAAATGTCGTCAGTCTTAAAAAAATACTTCGTTCAAAGACGGCGAGTAAAGTTCTGTGTTGCAAAATCTTTTCAGAGATAAAAAAATGAATATCATTATCTATTATTTCATTAAAAAAATGGTGTTTTCAATATTTATACATATGAATTGTAACGAACGTGTAACACTAGAAAAACATCTTGACATTTAACATTGTTCATAGTTTCTTGTTTGAAACATATTTTAAATAAAATTATACCTTTTACTAATTATTATTCACTGACTTGTAGACTTACTCTTGAAACATTCACATTGTTACCTTTAGATTGAGTAAAATAGGTGCGTTGGTCTAATGCTTTGTTCAATTAATTCTGAGCATTTTTCTCCGATAATGCATTTCAAATGTCTGACACATTTGAAATACTAAATCTTCATCATTTCGTAGTGTCTTAAGCTAAGCTTATCTTATTGTTTACTACATTTTTCTTATCTAATTTCTTTTCTAATAATCTTTTCTAATAATCTCAGGTTAGGAGTGCTAATCTTCCTCCTGGATCAAATTTATTTTAAAACAGTGCCGGTTTCTGGTAAATACACCGTTCGCTGGTCCGATATACTAGTACGCGGTTAATCACTGAAACCAATGATGTTCAATTGACCCGAGCTATTTTGCCGCCCATCCTTAATGAAGACTCATTATAATAATGTTGCAGAATAAATATCACACTACAGGTGTTGTGGTTGATATTTTGGCATAACATTGACTGCGATGAATTTCAAGCAATTGCCCGGTAAATAATGCAAGTGCTGTAAATTGAGTAATTTATGAAATGTCGTCAGTCTTAAAAAAATACTTCGTTCAAAGACAGCGAGTAATGTTCTGTGTTGCAAAATCTTTTCAGAGATAAAAAAATGAATATCATTATCAATTATTTCATTAAAAAAAATGGTGATTTCAATATTTATACATATGAATTGTAACGAACGTGTAACACTAGAAAAATATCTTGACATTTAACATTCCTGCTCAAAAACGCTCAAATGCTTTTAATGATTCCCTTGCTGGATTGTTCATAGTTTCTTGTTTGAAACATATTTTAAATAAAATAATACCTTTTACTAAATATTATTCACTGACTTGTAGACTTACTCTTGAAACATTCACATTGTTACCTTTAGATTGAGTAAAATAGGTGCGTTGGTCATATGCTTTGTTCAATTAATTCTGAGCATTTTTCTCCGATAATGCATTTCAAATGTCTGACACATTTGAAATACTAAATCTTCATCATTTCGTAGTGTCTTAAGCTAAGAATATTTAGCATAAAATTCTATTGACCTGTACGGTATAAAAAATAAAGTAATCCTACAAATAATATAAATGCGAAACTTTTCTTACACTTTTACGCAAAAACTATTGATCGAATTTTGATGAAGTATACAAATAATTCTAAGTCTGAGTTAACATAAAGGCTGCTTATTATCAAACTATACAGTTCTCTAGTATTATAATTTAACAAATACATTGACTTTGAAATTGAAAACTAATATATATTACTTTTGCAGGTCAGCAGCCACAAGAGCAGGAGCTGGCGACAAAAATGCTGCAAATCCAATCGAAACGGTTCTACCTGGACGTGAAGCAGAATCGCCGCGGCAGGTTCATCAAGGTCGCCGAAGTGAGCACCTAATACCATTTATCTTAATAAATTACGAAATTCTATTATAAGAAATAATGCATATAAAACCTTTTTTTTTTCACTGCTGTGTTTAAATAGTGTGGAGTTACGCGGTGCGAGGTGACTGTAGCCGAGCGGACTGACTTCGCATAGTTCTGAATTGCTTCACTTGACGTCTAGTGGGAATAAATCTTTCAATATAGTGTTTTATTCTTTTTCTGTTTATGGGCATCTCCGTAAAACGATGTGACGTCGTTGCACCTGTTTTACGCGTGGAGGGTGTATAGAATCACTCCAGTTACTTCAATCTATCAGGAATACTCCTCTTACCTACCTTGTCAGTGTTGAACTGGAGGTCAACGTGTGAGCCAGGGTATCTCACCTGGTAGTTCTCCTGTCCGTTACACTTCAGTTGAATGTGAATGAATGTTTATTCTGTTTTCGTGAAAACTACTAATGTCAAAGCCAAAAAAAATCTTTGTTCAAATAAATTTATCATAAGCACTTTTGATTTGTCCAACATTTTTTATTGTTCAGTAAGTTTATTATTAGCGTTTAAGGTCTTGTTTTCTGTTTTCTCGTGAGAATCACTGAAGAGTGGTATTCGTTGTTTAGTTGCGTATACCCCAATCATTACAATCTGGGTAATTTTATAGGAATAGAAACATTTTGCACTGGAATACATACTATGTAATGTAATCTTATACTCATTAAAACTCACATTTCCCGGTTAAAGTTCCATTATTAGTGTAGTGGTTCTGGTGTAATAAACAAAGTACTGACAGCGATTATTAAAACCTTTATTGAACTACGTGATATATATAAGAAGAGATGAGTTTGTTTTATACAAATCGTAACCGAGTCAGATTCTCAGAATTTATAGTCCGATCCATAGCTCTACTTTTTTAAATCAACTTATGTAATTTTATTATATCAACACATAAATGAATAAATTCATTATATATTGAATAACATAATATTCGAAGTCGAATATTCATGACCATAGAAATTATTTCGCTAGGTTCCAAAATGAAAACGGTTTTTGCCTTTATTAACGTCAGGTTGAGTTAATATTCTGTACTGTATAGAAGAAGCCTCTATTGATTGCGTAAAATTATTAGACTGCCGATAAGAAGCAGCTGATTATTGTATTAGGTATGAAAAGGTAACAATGAATACTCTCGTTTTTATCTTAAACGTATTCTAAGATTCGTCTCATCATACATTGCGGTGTTTATATACAACGTTTTGAGATGAGACAGGTGCGTAGGCAGCGTCGTACAACGCTATTGGAGTTGGCCTCGTTAACGATAACAGTGTCGGAGGGCTCTTTGTTTGAAGCAATTCGGAGGTCGGTGACCTCTGTGACCCCGGTCGTGTGATTTCAGTACATCTGTTTTCTCCCATAGAAACGCAGCAGAGATCTTGTGGGAATAAATTTATATTTATTATTTTAGGTTATTTAGTTTTGGTTATTGACTTATTAACTTGTTCTAATATACTAGCCGTTTTTCAGTGATTTTGCCCGCGTAAATTATAGCCTATCTCGAAGTGTATGAATTTTAAAAAAAAGTTTGCTCGATGCAATTAATTAAACAATAAAATCTTTCATTTTTATAATATTATACTAATACACAATATCTTAACGCCTCGTCGTCTGCTCAAATTTGAAATAATATAGAAAATAAATATTTTTGTGGATCAATTCTTATGAGGATTCGAGCTTTCTTTAATCAATAAATTGATATAAATATAATTAATGATGGAAGAATTCAAAGATATCATCAAAAGCTGCAAAATTTAAATTAAAAGAAAAACTAAGACACTCATGTCAGTTACATTCAGTGCTGTATTGATTTATTAAATTATTTAATAATTTTATGCGGCGGCTTTGTGACTTTCTATAATGATTAGAATAATTAAAGAATAAATACATGTTTTCATTGATAAGTAAATATGACGATTGCTTTATTTTAATTATGAATTAACTTTAGGTACTTTAAGGGAAATTTGCTTAATGCATTGAACTACGCTTAATGTAATTTAGTTAAAAAAGGCTCATGGATTTCTAAGATGGGTATGATGGTCATATTAAATTTCATAACAAGCGATGAAGACGCTGGAATATTAATATAATATAAATTAATCTAAGTCGTATCTTAACCGTGTTATCTTAAGATGAAATATTATAACATCTAAACCTTTAAGAGCTTTACGTGAATTAATAAAATCAAGTGGTGAAATATGACAGATTTGTATAACTAGACGAGCTGTTGACTCTTTGCTAATAGGTGTGATTAAAATGTTATTTGTTTGTTTGTTGTAATGCCAGATCGGCGCGGACGGTCGGCGCAGTCAGATATTCTTGGCGATGTCGACAGCGGCCGAGTTCCGCGACCACCTGTCCAGCTTCAGCGACTTCTACTCGTCGCTGGGGCCACCCAACCCCGACAACGTGCCCGAGGACGGCAAGCTCAAGTCAGAGATGATGCTCAAGGTACACCATATAATAATAACGCCACCATTCGTACTTATACTATTATTATGGGGAATCTGACATGTTTCAAGAAACTTGTTTGTTACAGTAATAAAATAAAATAAAAAAGTACATGATTACCAGTGGTCGGAATTAGGTGGTGGTCGGATTCATGTACTTACACTGATTTCATACAGCGAAAGAATAAAGTGGATATGCCTCAAACCCCGAGATTAATTTTAAAGAACAGAAAAAATCCCGTGATTTTTTAAATAAAAAGTAATTTACTTTTACACAATTTAAACTACTGCACGCACGACGTTGCCAAACTTACATCAATGACATCGTATGTCCAAAGTTGCAAAATACCAATACGCGCGATGTTGCCACATTTGTAGGGAAGGTCCACATTAATATCAACATTTCGATGCAAGTACATAAATAACTCTACCTAATTCCGACCTTTGATGATTACAAATAAAGAAATGATCCATACTATAATTTTTAAACAAGTTAGCATAGTATGGACCCAATATACTTACTTATATTATTGAGAGTACATACAATCATAGAAAATTTATAAAAAATACACAACTAAAACATTGCTGTAGCTGATACTGTATTATGAGCTTATTCGATGCAAACAAACAAGCAATGAAATATTAGTATATTAACATTATTTTACACAGCCTACGACTAAGCTTTTTGACTAATTTACATACTTTTTAGACACAGACTACAAATACATATTAAAATAACATATTTTTATAAAAATATTTATCTTAACATTTTAACAAAATTTTAACAAAAGAGTCAAATATGTTATTAGACTAAATTACAATAAGGTTGTTTTTTCAAAAGTAAACCGTTTCTGTATACTACTAGTATTTGAATTTTTTTTGGGTAGGATTGTTTAGGTGACATTCTGCGTAGATTTGTATGAGAAGGTAAGGTGGAAGTGTATATATTGCTGTCAGGACAATCGTCGGTACTACCTGGACCTAAAGGAGAACTCGCGCGGTCGCTTCTTGCGCGTGTCGCAAACGATCACGCGCGGCGGCCCGCGCTCACAGGTGGCGCTGCCGGCGCAGGGCATGATCGAATTCCGCGACGCGCTCACCGATCTGCTCGACGACTTCGGTACCGATGACGGCGGGTGAGTCGCCACTCGATACTCTCTATCCACATTGTTTATAAACTCTAGACCTCTAACAACTTTAGTCGAGTTAAAGTAATTAATTACTTAAGCTAATATTAAAAAAATAAAAACAAAAATTTTAATGAAGCAAAATATGTTAATTGTAAGAATACTACTATTATTACTAGCTATTAACGGTTCTTATTTCATTCAAGTTCTAGTCTATCAGTTAAAAATACTTACTTCTGTCAACTGCAGATACGTCTTAGTCATGAAAGACCATTTGTCTAAATTCTGTCTTGCCATAGACCACCCACTTGGTCTATTGTAATACCTAAATGTAGATAAATCAAGAATTGTTTTACATACAAAGAATATACGTTCCACGGATCACTTGGGATCGTTCCAGGGACCAATATTGTTTCGCGGTTCACCTGTTAAGAGGCCCTGCTCTAGATGATTGAGTTCTGAGACGTAGACGGCGGATGAGCCATCACAACATACGGGTTTAATTAACTCTAAGGCTTGCGTGAAAAGATTTATCAATGCCTCATTCGCATAATCATACCTATAATATACCAAAACACATTACACCAACTGTCTTTTACTAAATTTACAGTACCATCAAACAAAGATAAAAAATACAGTTACAGTATTATACGCAAGAGGAATCGTTATTATTGCAATTAATTTTTCATTCATTCACTATTAAAAATAGGTAAATTATCTCCATACAAAATGACCCAGACGGTACTGCAACAAGCTATTTCATGTCACTCACATACTAAAAAGTATATATAATATGTCTACTATATTGTTGTCCGTTTGACATTTCTGCCATCTAGGAAACCTGAATATATGAGGTAAGTTGCCTCCTAGAACGTCACATTTCAATGTTTTCAACTTAATTCTTTAGAGCTAATTTTCTATTGTAAATTACCTATATATTGTGTCAAAATAAATTAACTTTATAAAACTTAAAAAAATCTTGAATTCCCAGATTTTTAAATCCGTGGAGCAAAAGTATTCAGCAAATTTGCTATGTTCAAATATTTTTTCAAATGTTTTTAACAAAAGTGGTACAATTATTAAAAACGTACCACAGACAATATTTAGTTCAAAAAGTACAATATTTGTAACGTCAATATTTAAAAATACTACAATCGAATATATATTTACTATTAATTTTTTAAAATTATTTGTTTGTATATATGTCATTTTGCAATCAGGCACAGGAATCGTCCTTATATAAACTGATTGACCAGTGTACAGATAATTTTAATATTTGTGGTGATAATACATTGCATCGCTGGTAGTAATATTCGCGCAATTTGACTGATCTAAATTGATCGATTAATTGCATTTTATATAGACGAATCTGACCGTTATTTCAAACTGTGTTTTAATACTACCATTCTACACAACTCTATGAAATCTTAATGAATAGCTATGCCGCTTTATATAATTTGAATCAGTATAATGTTACTGTTAAAGTTGTATTATTAATAAAATTTATATTGTCAAGTTAATCTTTGTATTTACCGTAATTTCACAAGTTTTTCAGTTGTACCATAGTATAATACAGTAGCGCAATTTGAGCCATTTCTAGAAATATATACCTACGCTGTATTGGAGCGTTAGGTTTATAACGCTGTAACGTAGTGTCGTACGACACCGCTTATTTTGTTCTAGGTGCCCACATCCAAACTTTTTCTCTTTGATATCGTATAAAAATCCTCATTCTAATGAATAGTTTTCAATAATCGGGAACAGGGGGGTAAGGTGCCTCAAAAGTGATCTCATCTTTCTTTTTATATTAATGCTACTATTTTAAAGTTAATATATTAATAATATTAACAGGAGCAAAATGTTTCGAAATTGAGGCCATATTTTCCAATTGAGAATTTTAAGAATATAATTTAATAAGAATTTTATTTTTTAAATCAATTAGAAACAGGTAACTATGTAAACATATTTGATAACTATCGTAACTAAAAAACGTTCTGTATAGTGAGAATGAATACACATCTATGTATAATTAATATCGATTAAAACAATAAAATATTATTCTTACCTTTGAATATTAGTAGGTAATTTAAAAAAGGAATAGTCCGAGTTTGAATAGACACAATAGTTTCGTGGCATTTTTATAGAGATCGCGAACTCTCCGTATGCCTAGTTGTCTTGCTATGTTAACTGAGCGTACATCTCTATGCGCACATGAATTCGACCGTTTTGTTCTTAGTTACCCTACTGTATTATACTGTGGTAATACCATATGTTAATACCAATTTTCCTCATTAAAGACACCATTACAAATTGTGAGTTGTTTAGTTTCAAGGGTGAACTGCCTGAGGGTCGCCACTTGCGCGTCGACAACAAGAACTTCTACTTTGACATCGGACAAAACAACCGCGGCATCTACATGAAAATCAGCGAGGTGGTAACATCGTTACAAGTAATTGTAGCACAATCAATCTAATCTGCTAACCTGGTGTTATGTGGGGATTATGACTTTCTAATGCATATGGACTTCGCTACATAGAACAGATCGAGCTCAAATATATATTACAGGGTTATCGTATTATCTTTGTAAGCAGCATCGATGTAAGCATTAGAGATGACTTGAAACTCAAACTGTTAATCAAACATACGTGACGGAAATTGGTGTTTTAATTTTTGTCATAAAATGGTTTCAAAGAAGTTGTTGGAGATCTCATTTAGCCACAACAGATCAGCGATTTTGCTATCTTTTAGATTATATGGAATATTTACGTATAAGAAATACAAATTAAATCAATCTCATTTCATTGGTAGTCTCATTTCATAGGGCTACAAGTTTAGGCGTTTTTGTAAATGATAGGTTCAGAAGAAATTCAGATACGCTACCGCGGTTTAACGCAAAATGGGAGACTTCGTTTAATGACAGTTTGATTTTCATATTGCGATATTCATGATGATTTCTGTCATCACATCATACATTTTCACTGACACTTCGTTTCATAGATATATCATTTGTTAGTGACATATATCAGTTACACATCAATAGTTGATTTTACTGATATATGGCACTATTTTCTGACCCGAGAATATTTGTTAATGCGAAATCCTTATTCATTAGAAAGTCATTGTGTGGGAAGTGCTCTATCAAGGATTATTTCGAACTTTGTGACCTTCATAATAAGATACTTTATGTGTGTGTTGCTTTTTTCTATACTCCGTTCATTATAGCATTGACAGAAGTTAAATAAGGTTCTTTTTATGGTACACTTTGTGACAAAATATCAATAATCATGTTACTCTCAAGACTGACGGCTAATTTGCTACATTTCCACTTAAATACCAGCTGCTATACTTAAATGTTGTCATTTAAGCAAGCTATCTATTAAACAAAATTATGAGTATATGACTAACTTAAATGATTTAATAACTATTAAAATAAAAAGTGTTCATCGTAAAGAACCTTAAGAAGCAGGGTTGGATAGTTTCGGCACGATTTTCATGTAACTATAACTCTACCAAATTTGAAACGTTGCCTAACCTCTTCAAACGTTTCGGCAGTACAGCTTTTTAATTTTGTCAGCCTATTATTTATTCATAATTGTTAAAATCGTGATCTGGGATTATCATCCGTTGTGAATGCTACTGCCTTTCTTGTTGTTTTGCCGTTTTCCGTGATTAAGTTGTTATTGTTTTATTTTTGTTGTTAAGTTTTGTTAAATATGGACGATGCCGGTGCAGGCCCGTATGGCCTACAAAAATTACGCTCTAAGCCCCTACCCTCAATTTTTGACTAACTAATTACACTTACAATTAGAATTTATCAAAACAACAGACAGATAGTTTCAGTTTTAGTTCTATGTTGGCTTGGGAGTAAAAGATGAATTTATAAAATGCTGGCCTTATCTCAACCCCGAGGTATCGTAAAAAATGGAAAATTGCCCAGCTCTTTCAGACTACCTAACATTCAAAGTTTCAACAAAACTAATAATATTTTTTTTTATTTATCTTGAAAATAAAATGTTCTGCACTGCTGCTTCAATGACCCTCTTTTTTCTTATGTTATAATGAATGGAGTATAGATTATTGAAGTTATGACAATTTGAGTTTTGTATAAATATCGCATTAAAAAGTTTTGAAAGTAATTTGCCATGGAAATAGTTTTTCTAAAGAGCGTATCCCTTTTCATGTTATCACAATACCACAATTATTTTAATTCTTAAATACAAGATAGAATATTATTTGTGAGTGAAAAAATACCTTATTAAAAATTTCTTATGTTTGAAACTAAATGAGGTTTAAACAAAAGGAGAAGATACCGCTTTAGCACATTATAAGGGTCGGTGCATATCTGACGGTATGCTCGATGGACAGACGGATCATCGATTGAGTGTACAAGGTTGAATGGCATTCATATTAAATACGAGCTGACTGATCAAGTCATGCGTTTCTGCGGTTCAGTAATTATAATAGATTTAATTAATATTTTACTCATTATTGATTTGCGATCTAGAAATCGAAACACAACGCATTCTATCGGATGTCCAAACGATGTTAAACAATTTTATAACCAACTCAGCAATCTATGAAATATTCATAGCACGAAATATTAAATTCACATTATTGACGACCTCTGTAGCCGAGTGGTTCGCACGCCGGTTTCGAGGTGTTGCCATCTCCGTTGCCATCCGTGTCGTGTTTCCTTCGTTGTCTCCGCATATATGCACCGACCTTAAATGGGCTCAGGTGAATGCATTTCCGCTTTATCTGAAACTAGCTTTTGCCCGCGACTTCGTCCGCGTGTTAAAGTTACTTTGAGCAGCATTTCTAATGAATATTTATTAATTATATCGTATAAAATACCTGAAATTAAGTTTCATCCCCTATTTTATCCCCTTGGGGGTAGAATTGATCAAAATCCTTAGCGGATGCCGTACGTCATAACATCTACTTGAATGCCAAATTTCAGCCCTATCTATCCAGTGGTTTGGGCTATGCGTTGATAGATCACTATGTCAGTCAGTCACCTTTGAATTAAATATATTTAGATGAGTTTCAATAGTCGTCGATTGTTTAGCTGAACTCATAACATGCGCGTTTAGAACAACACAAAAATGTAAAATTCATAGGTACCGAATTCATAGCTTTTTTTGCTCTGAACTAAAAACAAAGTTTATTTCATAACTTTCATTGTGAAGTAAGCTAAGAGATATTTTTTCTATACCCTCTGTACACTTGCCAGAGAGAGAGAGGGGAAAGGAAGAGGGGGGGACAGGCTGGTAGACTGGAGAGAGACGGACGGTAGGCAGAATAAAGGGAGACAAAGAAAAATAATCTAACTAATCACTTCGCTTCGCACGCTCGAGTAACCTACGAAGACGTAATTAATTAATTAGCTGTGCGATTTCGTGCGTTAATAATTGCGACAATATATCGTTTAATACAGGTAGGATGTGTATCTTCCTTTTTTGTTATAATATCAAAGGCGAGAAATGCCATAGTGCCATTCATTTTCAAATTTTAATCTTCAGGTATTGTGATAACGAATACTAGACCTAAGATTTATGTAATGATGGTTAATAACATTTAATATTTACTTTATTTCATCAATTTTTGACAAAGTGGATTTTTCAAACATTTTTTTAATGAAATAGATTTGAAAAATCGACTTTGTCCCCACCTCAGCATTTTTCATTAAGAACATTTAATATTATTTATTTTATCGTATGGTAATGTAAATACACATTTCATTTAGGGCATTTTTATATAGGTATTCTTATTTTTATTCTTTCTAAATAAATCGGCTTTAGTCTAAGTTAAAATGACCTATTTATTATCATACAAATGAAGGTATCGACGTATCTTAGTATCGAGTTGTTTCATCAGATATGCACCGACCTTTAGCGAATTGCCGAACCATATGTGAATGATCCATATTTTGAGCTTGCATGAGGAATTTGTATAATATAATATTGTATAAAGTTGGGGGTTTTAGTTCAAGTTCAAAGGTTTCTATACTAGATTAGACAAGCCGTTAGGTACTGAAAAGGAAAGAGTGCACAACTTATATACGCCCAGTTGCACAAACGTCCATTAAAGTTTAATGTTGACCTTAAGCTCTAGTGCATGTTCAGAATTTGAAAATTTACATCTTCAAAGTTGCTTTAAACTAATGACAACTGGATGTTAGTTGATCGTATGTGTATAGTGGTTTGTGTGGTACAGGTGAAGAGTAACTTCCGCACGGCGATCACAGTGCCGGAGAAGTGCTGGACGCGGTTCCGCGACATCCTCGCCGACTACTGCGACAAGATGTGCCGCGCGCACCATCCGGAACACCATCCCGTATGTACAGTAGACACCACATCTCGAGAGCTAATACGGGCTAATACCAGATAATAAACGAAAATGTTACAGATATTTTTTTCTGGTAGTGTTTTATATACTGTTACGTAAACAATATATTGTTACCTAAAATATTTCTTAAATAAATTATGAAAAGAAAATTTTATACACGTTGTCACGTGACTGCAAACAGCGCGTGACGTCACGACTCTCTTTTCATATCAGAACATAGAGAATTGAACCTTATGCATACATAGAATGATATTAGTTTAAGATGGGTGTGACGTCATAACGACGCCATGACAGAAGATGGCGTTTTCACCTGATATTTTGAAAATAAAATTTATTTTCAGATTTTAACTTACATGATTTAAACTTTTTTATATAGTCTTTTTATATTTATTTAACGTATATTTGTAAAATAAAAATATACAAAAGTCGTCTACGTCTCTATTGCGTAGTATCTAAATCTAGCAATACCTTTCTGAGGTATAGCGATTGTGATCAAGATTTATGGAATTATGTAATGTTTAAAATTGCAATTCCTTTTGGAACGAATCAATTCAATGATCTAGAAACAATGAAAGTTTAGCGAAACCCGTTAAAAGATAGCATTCACCTGTTTCGTTTGACATATCTGAACAGTTTTCAAAAATATTTGTTTCAAACGTTTCCGATATCTGAATGTGAGATATCTTTCAAAAACGTCTTGTCAAATAGTTGTAGTGTGAAGTTTGTAAAGCTACTGCGATAGATTTTAAAATTAGACAATTAGGCTCACGCTCTCAGTTCCGCTATGTTAAATGGCAACTCAATATTGTTTCAATTGTTGTTTTGATATGTTTTTGAAGACGAGCAGTTTCTAAAGTTGCTGATGATAAGCTTACCCATAATAGTTGTAACTGCATTGATTATGGGTAATACAAAACACTTTTATTTCTCATATTATTTCCTACTGCGTTCAAAAGGTGTTATATTTTCTTTACATTTGTTCAGGCTTCACGCTCTACAAAATACCAAGACAATTCAAATATGGCTGTATGATTTGAATCCCTTCACATTTGATAAAATAACACATAGCATAATAGAAAAATATTATACACATTTTTTTATTTAATTTGACAAGCAATGAGGAGTGAAGGCTCGTTACAACTATGTAGAAAATGTACAAAGGTTACGATGTGAAAATGTACTTCATGTGAAATTTCAACTCGATGTATCGCCGTAATTTATCGATATTGTAAAAAAAAACGTCTTTAATACTCTTTAATAATCTACTATTATTATATATGTTGTGCAGTGTATAATTTTTGTTTGTTACCACTGCAGTGTAATGTGAGTATCCTATTGCATTAATTTCCAGGGCGGTGGTGGACCCAGTTCGCAGCCCCCACGCTCTGACATAGTGAGTATTATAACACATTTATAACTCGCACGAATTCATATGATACGTGAGGGTCTATTCTATTTTTTCTCGAACAAAAATCTGAAAATTTCTCATCATCTTTATAATTTTGATAAATAATTTCTGCAAAAATTATCTATGCATCAAAGACAGTGTCAGGTCCAACCTCATCATAAATTATCGAGAAAAACGTTTCTTTGCAGTCAATTTAGTATATAGAAAAATAGAGGAAATATCGTTTTCTGAATACAATACAATTGTTTGTTTCGACAGCTTGATGAACTGTTATTTGTACTTTAAATAAAACCAAAAGAACTTTTACTGGAACTATATTTATCGAGAAGACATTTTTTTTTAAATAACAAGTTAATTGCTATGGTAACAATTTTATACTTTTTTAATACTTTCTTTTTTAAGGAGTCTAGAAAAGAGGTTGATATGCTATAAGGTTAGGTTATAACGTGAACAACAAAAGGCCATCGGGTATCATGTAAATTTGTACCACTATCGGTCAGTTGTACAATCGTCCATTAAGGTTTAATGACGCGTTAAAGCCCTAATGAATGTCGAATTTGTATGGGTAAAGTCGCTTTAAACTAATGACAAATCGAATGGAAGTTTGTGCAACTGGTGATATTAGACAAACAATATAAACTAAACAAACGTAATCAGATAATCCTATAAGGGTAGAACTAATTTATACTCATCTCACACGATATTTCATTTATTAATAGTTCAGTGTACACCATCTATGAAATAACGCTTATATTTTGATGTAACTGCAAGTTTCTGTTGCCTTTATAAAAGATAATAATTATAATAAATAAACCTATTATTATACGAGTACCCGCGACTTCGTCCGCGTGGTAAAGTTAATTTGAGCAACATTTCTAACGAATTTATTCATTATATCGTGTAAAATACCTAAAATAAAGTCCCATCCCCTATTTCCCCATTAGGGGATGCCTACGTCATAGTAGCGTTATGCCTGCAAAGTTGAAAGTTGCAAATTGACAAACTTTCATTCCCTATTTTATCCCCTTGGGGGTAGAATTGATCAAAATCCTTTCTTAGCGGATGCCTACGTCCTAACATCTACCTGCATGCCAAATTTGAGCCCGATCCGTCCAATGGTTTGGGCTGTGCGTTGATAGATCACTATGTCAGTCAGTCACCTTTGAGTTATATATAAATAAATAAAAAGTTGATTTCTAGTCGTACGCATTAAGGTTACACATTCTGATTTTAGAATTAATAACTTAAAAGTAAATGAATACTATGCTAGCCAAATAATAATAGGATTGGAATTACTACCAACTTCAGGGCTTTAGTTTTCACTGAATATGAAGTTAACAATATTTGTCGCAACGTTAACGGTGACCACCATAAAGACCTAACCGTTTTATGACTTCGGGTTCAAATATCATTGTTAGTGTGCCGTAATCACTACATAGTATAAAACAAAGTCGCTTTTTCTGTCCCTATATCCCTATGTATGCTTAAATCTTTAAAACTACGCAACGAATTTTGATGCGGTTTTTCATAGATAGGGTGATTCAAAAAGAAGGTTTTTATGTATAATACAATAGCGCGCGGTCGAAGCCGCTGGCGGCAAGCTAGTTCGTTATATAAATTTTGTTAAATATTTACACCCTGAAGTCGAAGCGCGATACAAACCAAGATGGCTATTAGCATTTTGTTCGCATAATATTAGAAGAACTCGCATATATCTCTAGGAATCTAAAGCTAGTGTTATAGTAATATCTTCATTAAGTCAATGAAGATAACACATGAAAAGATTATTTTATGTATTGACCTGACCAGTCGATACGGGGTCTTTAGACATGGCGACACTGACGCTGGTCGATTGATTGATCAATTACTTATAATTACTAGCATGTTAGTCCTTCATAGGCTTATTATGATTATGTATTTGCCACGCGTTGTATTTGTTTTCGTTTCAGATGAGAACTTGTGGATCGGACATTTTGACTGGCTCATTTACATCGGTTGATTTGTACCCAAATGCGGAATCTTACTGATCGTTAAACCAATGACCTACCAATAAAAATAATGCGCCATTGAAACTACCTTCATGCTGCATACAAACGCCATCGACCAATGTAAAGTAGCAAACATATATACGCCAGAGGATTTAACTTTGTATTTGTATTGTCGCAGGACTCATTATCGGGCGGTGGCGCTGGCCGCATTTGATGCGAGCGGCCCTACTGAGACGAAAGCTGCCCGACCACCTGTATATAGTATTTTATATAACTATATATATACATACATTCATATATATATATAGTAGTATATGTATCGCCACGCTACCGACCGTCACATAACAACCACATTTCAGATAAAATCTTATTATAGAAATATGCCATAAAAATATTACAAATATAAGAAAATCATAATCAAGCTAAAGTTCATGTTAACTTCTCTTCCTATTTGTATTTGTCTCAATAAATTTTTACTTCGAACTGTTAATTGTCGATTTGCGGATTGTATTTTAAAATGTACATGCAATATTTTGAGACTTTGTCCTTTGTGATATTACTATACGTTAAAGATTTTTTTTAAATTGTAACTAATCAGAAATAAAAATATTTGAGAACACATTGTAGAAAGAAAATTTGAAAAAGAGACGGTACTTGATCTTTGGCTGAGTTTGTGAATATTTTTTAAATACATTATGTATAAATTTATGTTTAAAATATGGTTCTCGTTGCGGTTTTGTAACTTACATACTAATTTAAAATTTTGATTTTAACGTATGTGCAGAACGAATCAGAATAGAAATAGTCGGTTTTTCTATTTTACATTCGATAAAATACCTACTTGAATGGATATTTCAGTTAAAAACAAAGTATATGTGGACTGGCCTTTCTTCTGGGTTGTTTTGTTTTATCGGCAGCTTTACAAAACAATATGGACTAACGATCGGAATAAGTACAGTTATTTTTGCTACTGAGGTATGTTATCATAGTATAGATGCGCTTAGGAATCCGGGAATCAAATATATATTTTAATACAGTAATCATGACTGTATTATCCATAATGATCATAATGTTTTTTTTTCACTTGATTTATGTAGGGTAGGTTTCAAAAATAATTTCAGTAATTTAACAAATTGTGGCGTATATTGCAGTCATAGAAAACTAAAATCTTGGATCTGAATCCCGGCCGTGTATCTATATTTACATATACTACTCGTATGTACTTAACATGACAGCGGAAGGTCTATTCTATTTCTCCGAAAACGAATTTTCGTCTATTTTTGAAATGCTAATACTACTCCAAGATTTTAACAATACTGTAACAACTATTCGAAATTTTCCAAATTTTTGTTCGAGGACAAATAAATAGAGCCTCATGTCATGTTAATTCGTACGAGTTATACCTCATTTAATGTGATCTCTATTTATTACGATCATTGATCGTAATGTTGTTTGTAGATCTTAATATTTTTTTTTTAATCTATCGAAGATTTAAATTTCGTTAGATCGAATTGTTTTGTAATGTATATTATATGACATGATATAATCGGCATTTTTGTTGGTAATGTGACAATAGTGGTATTGTCGGGGCGGATCGGTAGCGGCGGCTCCCGAGCTAGTTGTAAGGTGATGTGATAAAATGTTTGAGCTTCGTCGTTTATTTTCCGACCGGACGTTACGCGTCTGATGGTACTAATGTTGCACTTTATTTCTTGTTGATCATTGTACTAATTGTGATAGGGTTGTGTTTTGTTACGTTGTTGGCGTCTGTGCGGTCGAACGGTGTTGCCAATGAAATTGTACGGATTTCGTGGTATATATTTTTCGAAATGGCAACTATTACGAGATTTTTCCATGTTGCAACCACGAGCCGCGTGACCGATGATGGCGTTTAAGGCAAATTTCAAAAATTCACATATACGTGGCCTTTTTAATAATCTAAATTATTACTTGTATAAACGCCCCTTCG